GTTGAAATCCTATGGTCTTTGTTCCTAATTTCGGTCAATCCGAACATTAGAAATCCTACTCAGTACTGACAGTACAACTGCACGAATTATGGCACTACAGTGCAACTTTGCTAGCCTATTTATTAATTGGTGATGAGTGAACATATAACTATTACCTATTTGAATCAATTCATAAATTCGTTTGATGCCAATATGTTCTTTATCAAAAATTGATTTTACCTATTGAAATGTTGAAAACCCAGGGAGCACAAATATATCTGCTCTTCAGTAGTGTTCCGTAATAATCACGTTAAGCATCGAACTCACAGGAAATCAATCAAAATGATGAATCAGTCTTTCAACACTCAACTTCTTTGTCTCTTCTATATTTAATCAACTTCCCTCAAACATTAACTATTAAATGTTAAACATTATGGTTCACAGGTCATATTGTGGTGTGTGCTACTGATTTTGATATATATATATATAGTATATATCATCAGTCGAAAGTGAAATGTTTGGCGGCAGAATGTTAAAAAGATCAAAGAAAAGAAAACAAGAACAAAGAATGATTGGTGTGGAAACGGAAGAACAGTGAAGTCTAAAAAGATTGATTGACGTTTTGCAGAAGGAACAGCCAAGTTTAAGTCAATTAATTGATATTTGGCAAATGAACAATTAACTGTATGGTTCTCAGATGTTCTGTAATTTTGTGATGGAATGAACTCGTTTGTCCTCACTTGTATTCTCGTACAGTACAGTATATTAGCCACAAACCTAGATGATTCTTAAGATTATATTCCACTTCATACAATATAATCTAGAAAAAAGATAGATAATACTTTTCCATTCCTAACAAAAAACAATTATTTATATTAAATTCATTTGGTATTATTTACTTGAATCTTTCAATTGATGTTTAGGACTGCAATTGATCAGCACAAGCAAGTGGCTAACAGGATTTAGTACCTAAATGGAGAACACGATTGCGTCTGAAGCGAATATTACTGGGTTCGAGTCCCAGAGTGAACATTAATTCTGAGATACAGATACATCGAGATGACGAGTCCCAAATAGGACGAAACGTGCATCCTGGATTCCACTGCTAGCCACTATTCATCTTTGTTTACAATTCTTGTGATTTAAGGTAATATTGAGGCATCCGCACACGATGTACATATACCAACAAAAGACTGATCAACTCCAATCCTAACCATCTATAGGGAGATTCAAACAAGTAATACAAAATAAATGCTAAAAAACATTCATCTGAACTAGAAATCATCCTTTATCATTTCAACGAAAGAAAAACACACACCTTCAATGTTGATCAGTATGAAGTACCTAATGAAATTGTTGTCATTCTTACTACTAATAAACTACTGTTAAGTAAAAGTTTTGCTTAGCTTTAGATAATGTAGAATTTGAAATGAATGTACATTTGTTGAGAATTTTACTAACATCTAATTACCATGTTAAGAGAAAACATTAATATGACTAATAATAATTGTTTCAAGACAAATAATGTCGGTGATGTTGAGAAACTGAACACATGAAACTGACAAGAATGAGAAAATCAAAGAAATGAATGAAGTATTGAATAATACCTGTAGTCAACATTATAGTGGGTTTACTGTCGTACTATAATTGATTTGAAATCTATAGAGTCCTGAATATTCACAATGGGAAATTGTAAACTTTTACTAATTCACTGATATTCTTTAAACATATTAGTGGGTATCTGGAATTGATGACTCAGTGAAAACATCTACAATAGAATGCAGATATATCTAGTGAATAAGTCATATAAGTAACGAAACATGTTCTGGAATCAACTATTAGTTACATATCATGTATACTGTTATATATAATGCATGGATAGAAATATCATATACTGCCTTAAGGCAACATTTTAGGAGGGAAATCGAAATACGCATAAGCCTGTTGTGAGGGAGAAAATTATCGATCTGGATAAGGTGATGAACAATCAGTCTCTATATGGGTCAATATTTATATATATATACATGGAATGCACATATTTATTTGACAATCGAGCTTTTTACGTACTCTTCGATTTCCACTTTTGCTTAAGTGGTTAAGTAAATATTTTAAAGTGTTCGTTGAAACACCTAAGAGAATACCGCACATATTGAATACAAGAATTCAAATGAGCAGAGTATCAAATTTAAAGAGCTCTTTTAAATAATCTAAATAAAGTCAGTACAATGGAATCATGATGAGAAATAAATAATAGACAATAGACTACATTCAGACTTTTTTAAACCAATAAGATATCAAATTTCACAAAAATATGATGAAATAAATATATAACTTTCAGATTAGATTGACATCATCAATGGATCAATGTTAGACCACCATTGAAAACCTTGAAGCACTGAACGACCACCTCTTCCTAGTGTGAGATTCACCAGCAGTGAGTATCCACAATCCTTCACACGGGATTCGAATCCAGGGTCTTTGGTCTCACGCGCGAACGCTCAACCTGTAGACCACTGAGCTAGCATAGAGTGGCATCGGTGTCTAACTTCAACCAATCTACAAAATTGCGCGGCCATCTATCATTGTCATTACTGAACAAATGCAGAACTCGAACCCAGGACCTTCGGCCCAGTGCTTCTAGGTTTTCAGTGGTGGTCTAAGATTGATCCATTCATGATATTCATCCAAACTCAATAATCTCCATAACCCTTATACTGATGATATAACTTTCACCTCAAATGCATTCAAATGTGATATTACTTTCAATTGATGTAGTTTCCGAAACATACGAAAAGATAAACAACAACACTTCCTTTTTCCAAAATACTTTGACTTCATTTCATTTCTATTAAGAATAATAAATCCCAAAGAGCCTATTGACAGATTGATTAGTTGCTGTCCTGTAAATTTGAATATCTCTACGGGAGTTATCATTTATGTTTTTATCACATTTAAACAGGCTAATGTCTTATTGATCAACGATTCAGTTAATTTGTTAAATTAGTGGCTAATTCACAAGTTTGTTAGATATATATCTTACTTGTATTGAGTAATCTTCCGTGATCTTTATGAAATAAATCTCTATAAGATTAATCATTTTATGTGTCCAAGACGTTAAAAAGAAAAATGAGTATTTGTATCCATATATTGAAGAGAAGTTATGAGTTATTTCTATTAGTTAAAATCAAATCAGTTTCATTTAATTGTTCATTACAGTTACATTTGAGATGGTGGCGAAGATTTGTAGCTCAGGTGGATTATTTTGCTGGAGTTTTATTCTCTGAGCTGGATGGTTTGCTCAGAGAACAGATCAAGGAACAAAACTCCATCAACAGTCACATTTATTAGTAATGGATTGTGAAGGTTGTTGGATTATATTGAAATCATAGACTGATCAATGCTAAGACATCTTGTACTTCCAGGTATTCAGTGGGCATTTCACAGTTTTCGGTTCATAATTTCAATGATTATAAAAGCGCTGTTGAAAATTTTCTAGTAAATTTATCAGATAGGTACTCTAATTTCTTAACTCCTCCTGTAGCTCTTCTAGAGTTACTCCCGGTCCCAAGCCCGCGTAAAGGAGGACGGTTGGGCATGGGGTTAGCGACCCCCTCCCGTAGAAAAGTGACTCGCTGAAAAAAACGCTAACCTAAAAAAATAATTTAAACTCTACCCTGGGAGTTAGCATATCTTCGTTTAGAAGAGCTATAATGCCTCACTGTGAAAGTCAAGTTCCTTCGGAAGCCACGAGGCCGATGCCCCTTCTACCAAACAGAACAACAATTTTTATAGGTACACGGAACGTCCAAACAATGTGGGAGACCTGGAAGACCAGTCAAATAGCAGCTTGGCAGTACAGGGAATCAGCGAAACCCAATGGACTCTAATTTCCTAATTGATAGTTAGATCATACTTCAATCATTAACTGAAATTATATTGACTGGAATGTATGAATACTATTACCATTAACAATACTTATCAAACTACCCTATATTTACAAGCTTATTATTATTGTTATGGTTATATTTTTACTATTCACTTCATTCATTTAAGCACATATATGATGATGAAAAATATGACAGTTTTGTTTGCTGTTTCATGATATTGATTTTTGTTTGTTTCCCTTTCAGTTGTCGAAGTTAATAGACATTCTATAAGTGAACTGAAATCTCCCTTTGTTATAATGTTTATTCCTAAACATAACGTCGGAAATTTCTTACTGAGAAAAAGATCAGATCTTAGCTATCATGTCTTATACATCATATCTTATTCTAAACCGTTCATGATGTTGTAGGTAAGCCACTTTCTTAGTGCAACTATGTTTTTTTTACAATTCTTATTAAAGACAGCTATATGCTTACAATAATGAAGACTATTACGATATACAATTAGATATCGACTTCGCAATTTAAAATACTATCACCTATGGTCACAACTTTTACCTGAGTCAAATTTTCAATATTATTTAATTCTTCGTTTCAGATCATCAATGAAAACAATTTACGAGATATATATTTCTCTACAATGTACGCCAACTATTAATTTTTTTTCACTCCATTATATATCATCTACCTGATTATAGATGTGAATCAGCGTGGATTATGTAACTATTTTCAGAAAATACATATTCAGCAGTTGAGATCATGAATTCATTGCAGCTAGAACACCATGTAATACCTGAAAGCAATGGACGGCCGTTTCGTCTTATTGTTGAACTCCTCAACAGTGCACATCCATGATCCCATCTTTCGAAATTTGAACCCAGAGCCCATCAGCTTCTCGCGCCAGTGCCTAAACTCAAGACCACTGAACTGGACAACATCCAACGGTGTTAATATCTGACTTCATCTAATTCACAAAATTGAGAGATACATCCATCATTATCCTCAGTGATTTACCATCTCACAACTGATACTTATCAACATATATTTTATTACTATACATTATTGTTACACATTAACATATGAATAAATATAATACAATACTAAGAACATAAAACAAAAAGAACACTAAATACTTACAAATAAGAGTTTGTTTCATCAGTATATCAAATAGTTGATTCATTTATTTTCAATTAGTTATAGAACATCCATTTTGGAGATAGGTTTAACCATAACAAAACACATTGCTTTTATGACATAATAACATTGATTTTATATAGATTATTTTATAAAAGTTTATCCATTTTGCTAACTTTTGGGCTTATTTCTTGTTGTTGTTAATGTTACCGTTGTCGTTGTTAGATTTCAATTTTAATACATTGCAAACATTGAATTGAATAAAAATAGAATCCACCAATCATAAATAAGAATATGGTTACATTTTATCTCATTTATGATTGGTTAGCTGAATCACGAATTTTGATTGGTTCGTTTAATGTTTACCCATAAAATTTTCAACAACAAACAAGTATCAGATGGGTTTTGTGGGTATTATAATAATTTCAGTGGTTAAGATCATGAGACAGTTGAAGCTAGACCATTATGGAAAACCTCGAAGCACTAGAAGGCCATTTCGTTCTATTGCGGGACTCCTCAGCAGTGCGCATCCACGACCTCGCCTCCTGCGAGACTCGAACCCAGGACCTATTGGTTTCGCGCGCAAGCACTTAACCACTAGACCACTGAGCCGGCATCCAACGGCATTAATGTCTAGCTTCAACTAATCTACGAAATTGAGTGACACATCCATCATTGTCTTCAGTCAGTTACTATCTCAAAACAGGCCTGGTTGAACTCCACTGGTCACTAGTTCTCCCTAGAACTCCAGGAAATACTTCATGAAGCCAGTCACTAGTGAGCATATGTTGTTTAATATCAGATGGATCTTGTGGATATTATAATAATTTCAACGGTTAAGATCATGAGTCAGTTGAAGCGGTTAAGTGCTCACGCGCGAAACCAGTATGTCCTGGGTTCGAATCTTGCAGGGGGCGAGTTCGTGGATGCGCACTGCTGAGAAGTCCCACAATAGAACGAAATGGCCTTCCAATGCTTCGAGGTTTTCCGTAGTGGTCTAGCTTCAACTAACTCATGATCTTAACCATTGAAACAAAAAAAATAGTTCTGATTTATAAATGATACAATTATATTTATATTTGATTTGACTAACTTCAATTTCCTGATCCTAAAAAACAATAATTTTTAAACAAAAAAGGAAACTGATATATAAAGTACAAAAACTAATGAAAACTTGACACAAAAATCATCATTTTCAAGTTGAAATGAGTAATTAAATTGGTATTTTCATTTGGTGTTATCCACTTGTATCTTCCCATTGTTATTTAGGACTTCGATTGATCAGTCTGTTATTGTCATATGTGCATCCTGTGCGGATTGCCTCGATATAGCCTTAAGTCACAAGCTTTATAAGCAAAGATGGATAGTGGCGAGCACGTATGACACTAACACACTGATCAATTACAGTCTTAAACATCAATGGGAAAATACAAACAAATAACACTAAGTGAATTTGATTCTTCACCCTAATACACAAGCAGTTGGCTATCAGAACTCAATAGCTAAGTGAATAACGCGATAGCGTTTAAAACGAACGGTACTGAGTTCGAGTCTCCCAGTGAACATGAACTGTTGAATTCAGATGACCAGTCACAAATAGAACGAAACATGAGTCCTGTATTCCATTGCTAGCAACTATCTATCTCTAAATTGGTATTTTTCTAATAAGGTGGAAAAATAGTAAGATATGACTTATTTACAGTTATATGTACTTATGTTTTTCATTATTACATACATAGTCATGAACAATTCATTGAATTGTTTTACATGGTTATAAGTTTGTATCACGTGTAATACAGAAAGATCCTTTCTGTATGAAATAGTTTCTTTTAACTTGGGTTACTTATTAAATAGAAACGTTTCTAAATAATATTAGTCTACACTTAGAATATGATGAATGAAAGGTTGAATGACGTTTAAACTGTCGTAAAAATAATTAAATGCTAATAGATTTAAGCATTAGATCATAATATCACAAAAACATGTACGTGATTCGAAAGATCATTGAGCGGTAATCAATGATACGTCTGTCAAATCTTTCCCAGTGATGTTCTAAGCCTAGTTACTAAGTTTTAGTCTGGCATATATATATGAGAAAATTGAACTTTTAAATTTAGAAGTAATGATTAATTTCCAAGTAGTTGACTGTCACATATTCTTCAGCTGTATGTTGAAATCCACCAATTCCGAATGAAATTGACGTTAGAATTAGAATGTTTGGATATGAAAAAAAAATGAACCAATTGATGTGAACTTCCATCAACTACTAAATAAATAGACATTAAATGCTATGCCATACAACAACACATTAATGAAATACTATAGGGGTCCTTTGAATAAAACCTAGTTTTAATTCATGGTTTAATTGATTTGGAGCTTATTTAATTTGCTTAGTTATACTTAGGAAAATAGCCGTTTTGAAATTTATGTAATATTGACTGTAAGATATGAGTGACAAATATAACGGTGATGTGTGCTACTGATGTTGATAGATATAAGTAGTACATATTGCCAATCGAAAGTAGAATGCCTGGAGGCAGAAGGTTAAGAAGATCAAAGAAAATAGAGAGTGATTGATATGGAAATGAAGTAACAATAAAGTCTGAAACAATTGACGGATATTTTGCAAATGAATTATTTACTGTATTGTTGTCAGATTCTGTAATTTAGTGTTCATATACATCAAGTTATCCTCCACTTGTGTTCTCGTTCACCACATAACATTAATCAGCTCATTACCTCTTTTGAGATTTAAATATTCGGTTCATAATGGAAACTTACTTCAAATCTGTTGATTATACCAGATTAAAATATCAATTTATCTAAAGTCAAAAACTTACCAACGTCTATTACTTTTTGTATAAAATAGTTTGCCAACCAGAAATCTTCAACTCACTCTATCGTGGACTCTTCTTTCTAGTTTTTCCCACATATCATTTATTCTTTTGATGTCTGTCTACAGCCTTCCTCTTTTACTTATTTTGAGTATTCTAAGTTAAAGCTTGCTTTGTGATGTAGTTTGATGAGTTCCACAATGTGTATTCTATCTATACATAGCGTCTTTTCCTAATTTACTCTTAATTTGAAATCTGTTTTGTTCTCAATCATAATCAGTAAGTTAAATACATCTCATTACAACTTGGAAAATGAAATATTGGTTTCCCATTAAAATCAATAATTAATACTATCACTATTATTGACTTTCCAGCATTGCTGAATAGATTATAAGATTGTAATCAGTAGTTCGATGTTTAACTGGGTTAGATTAATTAATTCAATCAAAAAATGTTATTGTTGATTCTTGATCATTAAATGACTCCTTGACTTTTACGAGCTGATTCTCCTCTATCCATTTGACGAATGTGACAGTTTTGAAGTCGCATATTCCTACATACTACTTACAAGAATTTTCGCGAGTAGCATTATTACTACTACTACTCGCACTAATACTACTGATGAAATTATATATGGTAGTTGTGACAGTGTGCGAAACCTTTTACTCAAGCATAAGTGTATATGGTAAATAAGCACAAACCTATTGTAATTTATGAATACATATTTCACTAGTATACCTTATTGAAATAATCTTCTATTCCTAAGTCTACTATTTTCTGTACATAAGTTTGTGATAGACTCTACGACAGCTTGAATGTCAAGTTGGATCATCGTGAAACTTGAGAGCACAGATTAAATGAATAGTGATAATCTAGAAAATTGTGCAATAACTTATAAAGAATGATTGTCTTCTACTTTAATGAAACTATGATATGTTATATGAAAGTTAGCAGTCAAAGTGATATTTACAATTTGCTTAATTACTCCTGGCTAAACTGCACTAGATAACTATTATCCAAGTCATGTGATTGAAATCTTTATAGAACCTAATGGTGATCGATACTTTTTCTCTAGGTATCATAAGGCCTAGATATCACCATTAATATGTGTTCAATTTATCTCTTCGTTTAAATTTCGGTTTGAAATTTGATTGATACTGGATTAACGACTTAATGGGGATCATCAACACTAGGATATAGGTGATTTCAGTTAACCAGTCCTGAATAGAACGAAACTCATTTCCTACATTCCCCTGTTAACTGTATTCTAACTTATTTATTCAAATATTTATTTACATGACAACAAATGTAATACCCTGAATGTTGTCGCGTAGTACTTCGCGATATCTCTTAGCTCCTCCTTTGCTCAAACCTTTGCCAACTTTACTACGATCAGACATGATTCATAAGGATAAGATACACTGATTTACAGACTGACATGTGACGATGTAAGAAAAATTAATTAACAATCTAAAAGATTTCAAATTTTAAAAAATAAACCCAGTTAACTAGTTGGATAAAACAATTTTAAATTCACCTCCAACTTTCATTTCAATGTAACAATTTCAAAACATTTAGATATTCCACAAATTAAATGGTACTTTTTTTCTCTTTTAAATACACTACATTAGAAAAAAAAATAGTCCATTGATAGCTTGTTCACAGTTCAATTTCAAGTTTACTAATCATGTTTCGTTGTTTAAATGAGACAACTCAACAACAATAACAACAACAAAAAAACACAGCAGAAAAACATTCTTACATCATGTTTCCAAAATGAATTTTCCCTTCCCTCCCTAACCCCCTGCCCCCTACCTCTTCTCTCTCTCTCTCTCTCTCTCTCTCTCCTTTATTCCACTTAATGTAGAGAGAATGATAAAAAAAATAGTTTTACCCGTTGGTAACTTAAGTTTACATTTCGTAATTTATATTTATTTAGTATGAACATGAGAAAAAAAATAAGAAGAATAAATAACGAATCACTAAAACTATTTTAATCCATTAACTATTATCGATGTTGTAATTGAGTTTGTTTTCGTTTATTCCTTGAAATAATCCAGTGACAATTATCTAGTGTAGTTAGTTGTTGTTTGATTAAATAAAACATGATGATTAGAGTCATATTTTCCTTTGAATCTATGTATCAAGTAATATCAATAAAGAAATAATAGTAATATAGTGAACGCTACTTGCAAAGATGTTTGTAAGTAGTGTGTAATGGAATGTGAATTCGAAGTTGCAACAAATGTTGAACAGATTAAAGAGTTTCATTGTATTGAATGTACAGTATAGGTAGTGTTAGGTTTGAAGCTAACATGAGTTCAATTGATCTGCGAACAAGAACAAAAACTCAGTGACCAAGATCA